AGTGCCGCTACTGGTTATACTTATACCACAGTATACATATACTGTGCTTATACTGTGCCTAGACTATCGAGTCGTGCATATGGAACAGGCAAGAAGACTAGAACTAAGGAGGATCAACTCGTGTGGTGGGGGTGAGTCAAAAAACGTCCGCGGCTATTCACACGATGTGCAGCGGCACTGCGCATTGTGTGAAAGTTCGATATAAGAGCGACAAAGTGACGATTATAGAACGATAGAGCGACAACTATATAGAGCGACAGAGAGGACTAATGAAGTGCAAGAGTGGGGGAAGTTATCCGTCGCCACTTTTTGCCTCATCCCCACTACCGCTATTGGTACGAGTTGATCCTCCTTAGTTCTAGTCTTCTTGGGAACAGGTAATCTGTAGGGGAAGACGTACCATCTCGCTAATCTCGGCTCTAAGAGGAGTTTGGTCGGGTGCCAATCCTAACCTTCTCTTATCCATCTACAAGTCTATGATCCGTGCCTCTTTTGAATATGCATCTCTTATCTTTGCGTTAAAAGATAATGAGAGTTTACTTAAACTTCAACGGGCAGAATCAGGCGTTTCGACTCGTGTGTGGATATCGTGTCTCCATTCCGATAAATGTGATGCATGAAGGGGAGGGGGGAGGGGAGAGAGGGGGAGAAGGAGGAGGAAGAGGAAGAAGAAGAACTTGTCATACTTACATTTAATTTAATGTCTATGTCATACTTACATTCAATACTTACATTCATACTTACATTCTTACAAGTCATATTTACATTCAATACTTACAATAATATTCTCTCTATGTCATACTTATATTCAATTTAATGGTATTGTTGGCTGCGTTCAGCAGAAGAAACAGCTTTGTAAAATTCTTGTTGTAAAATTCTTGAATATGATGGGTTTATACATTTAGATGCAATGAGGAACTAAGGACAAGACATCATATACAGGGTGTCTCAAAAAAAAAACGGATCGAAACACAATGGGAACGTAGATTGGATCAAGGGGAACAAAACAGTTTTGTACCATTTTGCAGTTGACGCAATATTTAACGAGATATTAACGTTTAAAGATAGGCGAATATAAGCGTCCGACCAGCCTACTCGTGTACTGCTGCCGGCAGGACGGCCTACCGTCCCCACCGATCGCATGACGCGGCGGGAACGCTTGTATTCGCCTATCTTTAAACGTTAATATCTCGTTAAATATTGCGTCAACTGCAAAATGGTACAAAACTGTTTTGTTCCCCTTGATCCAATCTACGTCCCCATTGTGTTTCGATCCGTTTTTTTTTAGACACCCTGTATATATATATATATATTAAAGAATTAGAATAAAGCATACTCCTCGAACACGAGACAAATGTGCAACCATCATCGGAATCCACAAAGCCTTCTTCACCAGTATCAACACAAAACATAAGAAAAAGAAAAAAATATGGGAGTAGTAATGAACACATGAAGAACAATTTAGATGAGGCAAAGACTGATTTAATATATATATTAAAAACAAATATGAAAGAGAAACACACTTACGAAATAGAAATATTAAAGAGTAAGTTACAAAAAGAAAAACTTAAAATTGAACTGTTAAACTTATTAATTGAAAAAGAAAAATCAAGGAAACAAAATACTAAAGAAGAAAATTCAAATATTCATTTTAAGCTATAAAAGGTTACTAACAAAAATGTGTTAAGCACATGTTTAAGATGTTCCTAATATAATTTTTATGCAAAAAATATTTTATACTAATTATCTCTTATATTAATATGATATAGTTCATGTTATACTTTACTCATGTTATACAATATGTTATACTTTTTATTGCTAAGAAATTTTTACATTACAACAGAAAATTATTTTTTTATATGCCAAAGAGAGAGAAGTATTATTTTTTACATGTAAGAAGAGAGAAAAGTTGTATTTTTTTGTTAGAATTCTTTTGAAAGTAGTATTTATTACATATGTTAGAAAAGAGGAAAGTATTTTTTTATGTATCAGAAAAATATTATTCTTTATATGTAAGAAGAGTGAAAATATTTTTTGTTAGAAATGTGAAGAAAAGTAGTACTTACTATATATGTTACAAAACAGGAAAGTAATATTTGTCTATGTTATAAGAAAAAACAATGTTTTCTTTATTTGATGTATAAAATAGAAATAATGAGTATTATTATGTATGCGTATAAGTACTTATTATTCCTATTTTATACATCAAATAAAGTAAACAACACTTTCCTTTCTCATGTCTGTTTATGTATGTAATACAAGTTGTAAAGACACAAAATATAAATATAAAGTATGTTATAAAGTATGTTATAAAGATGAAAGAAATAAATCTTTTAAATTATAATTGAGTTATTCATTATACGTATTTCAAGGACAAATATATGTGTGAAATAGAATATGTATCACCATAATGTTACATTCAAATATTTTTAATTATATATTTCAAATGATCATAATAATTATAAATTTATCAATGAGATAATAAAGAAACTAATTATTGAGGGTTTTATTACATTTGTAGGCAGAGAAATAACAAAAACAATACTTTTTATGAACGTGCCAAATAAATAATAGATGCAACATATGGAAGCTTTTTGAGTGAACATGCTGAAGCCTTTTGAGTCCGATGTTAATAATAGTGTTCAAATCAATCTGTAATTTTTAAAACAAATTCTTTAATATTGTTGACATATATTTTTTACGATTCATTTCTATATTAACATTACCTTCCAAAGTATTCCACAATTACTCGTCGTTTATCATGGACATTCCTATTGTCTATATTTTGCATTATTGCAACAGCATTATTGTATGCATGGGGATCAATTCGATCTTGTTGAATATTCTGTTGGACAATATTGTGTAATACAGCTGTCGCTATAATAATGAGAAGTATTTTTTCAATTGTTTGAAAACGCATTCCAATCGATAAAACTGCAAATCTCTCCTTCCAAATTCCAAAAAATCGTTCAACTATTGAGCGAGTTCTAATTTGAGCTTCATTGTAAAGATGTTCTGGTGGAGTTATTGGATAGTGTGATGGACTCATCACGTATGGTAAGTTTGGATATCCAGAATCCGCAAGAAGCAAACCAATACCGAATGTGCCTGCTTCAAATAAATTTTTGATCCTTGAGTGATCAAAAATAGTTGCATTATGCACAGATCCTGGCCAACGTGCAACTATATCAATTATTTCTAATCTTGCGTTAACAACTACTTGTACCAGGTATGTAAATATGAAACCGGAATTTACCAATAGATGGCCATAGTTGTCAATGTAGTTGCCGTCAGATCACGTCATTGACGCCATTTCCTTGTTCTGGCATCTGACAAAGATTTTCAACTCACAACAATACAAGTTTCATACAACAGTATAGTTTGTAATAGCGTTGAACATGTCGAATTTTGTGCCTGGAAACTACGATTTGCGGACAGCATTTTCTGTTACCATTTGAAGAAAACTGCTGCAGAATCGCATCGAATGCTTGTCGAAGCTTACGGTGAGCATGCTCTTGGTAAATCACAGTGCTTTGAGTGGTTTAAAAAATTCAAAAGTGGCGATTTTGACGTGAGAAACGAAGAACATGGAAAACCACCGAAAAAGTTTGAAGACACCGAATTGCAAGCATTGTTGGATGAGGATGACGCTCAAACTCAACAACAACTCGCGGATCAATTGAATGTGACATGAGAAGCCGTCTCCATACGTTTGAACTCCATGGGAAAGATCCAGAAGATGGGAAAATGGGTTCCACATGAACTGAATGAAAGACAGCAGGAAAACCGAAAAACCACTTGCGAAATGCTGCTCGCCAGGTACAAAAGAAAGTCATTTCTCCATCGAATTGTGACTGGCGATGAAAAGTGGATATATTTTGAGAATCCTAAGCGTAAAAGATCATGGGTAACTCCAGGCGAACCATCGACATCGACTACAAGGCCAAATCGCTATGGACGGAAGACAATGTATTTGGTGGGATCAGAAAGGTGTGATCTATTATGAGCTACTAAAATCTGGCGAAACCGTTAATACTGAACGCTACCGACAACAAATGATCAATTTGAATCAAGCTTTGCGTGAAAAACGATCGGAAAAGGCAACATAAAGTGATTTTGCTTCATGATAATGCACCATCACACACAGCAAAACTGGTCAAGGAAACGATTGAGGCGTTTGGTTGGGAAATACTTTCGCATGCGGCTTACTCACCAGACTTGGCTCCGTCCGATTACTACTTATTTGCATCGATGGGACACGCACTTGCTCAGCAGCTCTTCACTTCTTGTACCAACTCTCACACAAACTCACGAAGATGTACGAAAATGGCTAGATGACTGGTTTGGCTCAAAAGAGCAACAATTTTTTTGACGTGGCATCCACAAATTGTCAGACAGGTGGGAAAAATGTATAGCTAGCGATGGGCAATACTTCGAATAAAATATTTTTTATCATTTTCATGCAATAAACGTGTATTTTCTATAAAAAAAATTCTGGTTTCATATTTACATACCTGGTATGTTTAAAGAAAAATAGCCTTTTCTATTTCGATATAATTCATTTTCTCTTCCACCTAAAAAAGGTAAAGAAAATATGTGTAAGCAGTGTTTTCTAATAAAAAGATTATCTTTACATATTACATTTTTCTTACCACATGATTCAACTCTTATGTGAGTGCAATCCATACAAACAATAACATTAATAAACTTTGCTATTTGAAAAAATTCTTCTTGATTTTGACGAATCTGTTCTGCTGACATAGGAAGTTTTATTGTTTAATGCAGCAATAATAGGTGACACTCGATAAACGATCCTTTGAGCACTTGATTCACTTATTCCGCAAAAATCAGCAACAGTTATCAAATAACTTTCAGTTGCATAAAATCTTATAGCGACCAGTAATTGTATGACAGGTGAAATAGGATTATTACTAAAAACATTATTATTATAAAATATTGCTAATACAAAAATATATTTATATCTATACTCTCAATGTATATAATTCAGACGTACCGATCAGATTTATGACGTATTTCACCTTCAATTCTTTCTAATAGCACCATAAAATTATTTTTAGATATTCTAAACCTTTTTTGGAAATCTATTTCATCAAATATTTCCATATATTTGGCCATGTGGCCTTCTTTCATTTCTTTCAATATTATTCAAGTTTATATCATTATATTCATCAAAAAGTAAAAAATTAATAACTTCATCCATTTTTACATGAAGCACTATTTTTACATCAATACGTAATGTAATTTTCTCACATTGAATATGTATCTTAAAAATGTTATTTAAATCGACTTTTTAATCATTTCCATTTACACTGGATACTTTGCCTAAAACAACACGACTATATAAATAACAGGAATATCAGGTTAAGATGCTCTGTTACAACCGATACGACTGATTCGTTTTATTACATTGGCACTACCGTAATCATCGATTAGCTTAACCCACGAAGTAAAAGTAAGGAGACCGAACTCGGGTCGGCTAGGGAGGAAAAAATAGCCCTGAGTAATGTGCGCTAGGGGAGGGAATCCGCTGGAAGAAACTGACTTTCCAACTCGCGTCAATGTGTTATCGTCCCGTTCATGATCATGTCGGTGTGAACATTTTATTTGTGGAAGTGTGTTGTTGTTTACTATAGTATACGGAAGGTAACCTCACGGGTCTCAGATCTGTATACAGTACGGACACGAATGGACACGAATGTAAATCTGTGCAATTTCTGCTGTTGTCGTCAAGATGTCTTGCTGGATTCGAGATTGCACGACTCGGAAAGGGAAAAATGCAGCAGGAGAAAAAATAAGCAGGTTCCGACCATTTACGGTAAGAATAAAAATAATTAAAGTAAATATATTTCACTCTAACATCGTAATTACAAAGTGTTAGATGTTGCAAATATGTACAGACAAAACGATCGTCTTATATTTTTCTCCTCTGAAATTACGGAGATCATATACTTCGTATACTGATCATTTATTACTTATTTCATTGTTATTGCTATGACAGCTACTCCAGCTGCTTTACACGCACACCACTCAATAGACTCACGGACACAACACAGATAGAAAACTACACTATTACGCGACTTGAAAATAGCTGTTCCTTCTAGCGGATTCCCTCCCTTTAACGCACATCGAATGGGGCTATATCGGCCAGCTGGAGTTCGGTCTCCTTACTTTTACTTCGTGGCTTAACCGGAGGTTGGTGAAAGAGGCCCTTTAGTCGGCCTAGTAACTTTGCAGGCTTCCAACTTAAGCTGATGTCGGAGAATTAATACGAGCTGAATTAATGCGAGCTGAATTAATTTTCCGACATCAGCTTAAGGATGTACTGGCGCTAACGTTCTAGCATTGACAAAACTTTAAAAATTTAATATATTGTTGCTATTTATTATTTTAACACATGTGCAAAACCTGAAATCGATTCTCTAACTAGTTCACGAGTTATTTAACTTTTAATTTTGCATGAGTTCTTATGGAAAAGCAGCATATTCCTACTTATATCAACAAAATAATAAAGAAACAGCATTGCCAATATTCTGAAATTTTGTTTGTGAGTAAATAAAATACTGAGCAATATTTCTAAAAAAATTCATATCGATTCACTAACCCGTTATCAAGATATTAATTAGTAAAGCAACGCAAAATTTCGAATTGGTTAGAAGTCACATTTCGACAGCTCGAAACGTGGCAACAGTGTCGCCGCGCATGACAGCACGACTAGTTTCCAGAGGAGTATACTAATGATTTTTCGAATTACCACGATCCTTGTGATATTGTGCCTTTCCACCGTCTTTTCTCGCATTTCGGCATTTTCGCTTGCTTGCTTACTTGCTGCAAGCACATAACCTCGACTCGCATTC